GCATTAAATTAAATTAAATATTCAGTTTTGTGAGGCAAATTTATTTTATATGCCAACATCTATGAAAGAAAGAGCCAGGCCATGGAGCGCGATGCGTCATTTACGCACAGATGGTTCCAATTTTAATGCCATTATTGGAATAGAATAGAATAGAATATTCCTTTATTGATCCCCCATGGGGAAATTTTTTTTGTCACAGCAGCATCACAGAGTGTAAAAATGCAGTTATAACAATAAGGATTCTAATATTAAGAACTTAAATAAATGTAATAATTAAGAAAAAAATTAGAAAAGGGAAAAAGGGAGAAGAAAAAAATAAAACTTTCTACAATATTCACAATTTACACAATTTAAATGCCAGAAAAAAAGTGGTGGTGTAAATCCAGTTTTGTTACTGTTCATTGTAAAGTCTTATTGCAGAGGGGAGGAATGATCTGCGGTAGCGCTCCGTCCTGCAGGGTGGGAGTCTCAGTCTGCTGCTGAAGGAGCTGCCTAAAGCCCCCACAGTCTGGTGCAGTGGGTGAGGATGGATACAAGCTTTGTTAACATCCTCCTCTCACCCACCTCCTCCAGAGAGTCCAAAGAACAGTCCAGGACAGAACCGGCCCTCCTGACCAGTCTATTCAGTCTCTTCCTGTCCCTCTCAGTGCTCCCTGCCCCCCAGTAGACCACCGCATAGAAGAGTGCAGATGCTACCACAGAGTCATAGAAAGTCCTGAGCAGAGTCCTGCACACTCCAAAAGACCTCAGTCTCCTCAGCAGGTGGAGACGACTTTGGCCCTTCTTGTACAGAACGTCTGTGTTTGTTGACCAGTCCAGTTTGTTGTTGAGGTGGACACCCAGGAATCTGTAGGACTCCACCATCTCGATGTCCAGACCCTGGATGGTCACTGGAACAATCTGAGGTGTCCTTCTCCTGCGGAAATCCACAACCATCTCCTTTGTCTTACTGGCGTTGAGCTGGAGGTGGTTTGTGCCACACCAGTTGACAAAGTCAGTGATGACAGTCCTGTATTCCCGCTCATCCCCTGATGATACACATCCGACGATGGCTGTGTCATATGAGAACTTCTGGAGGTGACAGCTCCCAGAGTTGTAGCTGAAGTCTGAGGTGTACAGGGTGAAGAGGAAGGGGGAGAGCACTGTCCCCTGTGGAGCCCCCGTGCTGCAGACCACCATGTCCGATACACAGTTCTGAAGCCTCACAAACTGTGGTCTGTCGGTGAGGTAGTCCACGGTCCATGCGGCTAGGTGACAGTCTACTCCCGCCCGCTCGAGCTTCCCCCTGAGCAGTGAAGGCTGGATGGTGTTGAACGCACTGGAGAAGTCAAAAAACATGACCCTCACAGTGCTGCCAGTGTTTTCCAGGTGAGCCATGGACCTCTGCAGCAGGTAGATGACTGCGTCGTCCACCCCGATGTTCGGCTGGTACGCAAACTGCAGAGGACCCAGATGAGAGCTCACCAGGGGGCGGAGGTTCCTCAGCACGATCCTCTCCAGAGTCTTCATCAGGTGAGAAGTGAGGGCCACATGTCTTGAAGTTGTTGGGCTCCCTGGGGTGCGCTGTCTTGGGGACAGGAATCCCGCAGGAAGTCTTCCACAGTGTTGGGACCCTCTCCAGACTCAGGCTCAAGCTGAAGATGTGCAGTAGCACCTCACAGAGCTGGTCTGCACAGTCTTTCAGGAGTCTGGGGCTGATGCCGTCAGGACCCGTGGCTTTCCTTGGCTTCATCTTCCTCAGCTCATTTCTCACCTGGTCAGCTGTTATGGAGAGGCTGGGAGTGGTGCTGGAGGGGGTGGTGGAGGATGAGTGGAGGGGGGTTGATGGTGTCGGTGCCATGGGACTGAGGTGGTGTGAAAAAGAAGAAGGAGCAGCAAACGGGTCGTTGGTTTGATGAGTCGGGGGAGGAGTGGGAGTAGAGTCAAATCTATTGAAGAACAGATTCAGCTCGTTGGCCCACTCCCTGTCTCCTGCTTCAGGTCCCCTCTCATGGCCCCTGCTATGACCTGAGATGGATTTCAGGCCTCTCCAGACCTCCCTTGCGTTGTTCTGTTGCAAAAGGTTTTCCATCTTGGTCTTGTAGCTGGCCTTTCCCTCTCTGATCTTCTTCTTCAACTCCTTCTGCACCCTCCACAGCTCCTCCTTGTCCCCAGATTTAAAGACCCTCTTCTTCTCCTTCAGGAGGACTTTAAGTTCTGGGGTCACCCAGGGTTTGCTGTTGGAGAAACACCGTACTTTCCTGGTGGGTACAGTGTTCTCAACACAGAAGTTAATATAGTCCGTGATACAGTCTGTCATGGTGTCGATGTCATCACCATGTGGGCCGCACAGTACATCCCAGTCTGTGGTCTCAAAACAGTCCTGCAGCGCCTCAGTGGCCTCCTCAGACCACCTCTTAACATACCTGATGGTGGGGGGTTGCTTCTTCACCATAGGTATGTAAATGGGCTGCAGTCTCACCAGGTTGTGATCTGAGCGGCCCAGCGGGGGGAGGGGGGAGGAGGTGTATGCATCCTTGGTGTTTGCATACAGTAAGTCCAAAGTTTTATTGTCTCTCATCGAGCAGTTTACATACTGGCTGAAGGTAGGGAGAGTGGAGGACAGCGATGCATGATTAAAGTCTCCAGAGATGATGATCAGAGACTGAGGGTGTGATGTTTGTAGCTTGGACACTTCATTATGGAGGAGTTCACAGGCTGCAGCAGCATCAGCCGAGGGGGGGATGTAAACAGTTAACGCGATGACGTGCGAAAACTCCCTCGGCAGGTAATATGGCCACAAACTCACAGCCAGCAGCTCAATGTCCTTAGAGCAGAGCTGCTCTTTAACACTGACGTGCCCAGCATTACACCATCTCTCATTCACATACATCGCTATCCCGCCTCCCTTCTTCTTACCACTCTCCCTCACGCTCCGGTCCTCTCTGACAAGGTGAGTTAGTTGAGTGAGTTGGAGTTAATGTTGTGATCTGTGCGCACAACCCACCTTTGTCACGTGAGGTTTGAATATATGCAACTTAATGTGAGTGTCTTCATTTGTGGAAAAGGTGTTTGTCTTACCAGTGGGTCCAACATTACACACACCAAATCCATCTGTGCTCATATGAGAGAGTGTGGAGGATGCCCAATGCAGTGCTTACAGTGACACTTGTTGAGGAGCTGTCTTCTGTCGCCATCTTGTGGCATTACTGTCTTCAGACATCTCTTGATCTCTTTGACTACTTCACGAAAATGGTAATACGCCTTGCCTGTGGCGGATTTAAAGGCAAGGAGAGGAGCTTATGTGATTGGTGAAAACAGGTCTCGGCTGTGTTAAACCCACTCCACACCCTCTCTACGACTTACGCCGCTGGGAGGAGCTGAGTTTGGGAGGGGGGATACTAACGCCGGGCTGCGCTGCTCACCAAAATACCAAATTGTGCTTGGGAACGCCTTGTCGGCGCGACGGACCTGACTTACGCCGCGCCTGCAGCACGTCTCCAGCGAGGCACGAAAATAGAGCCCATTCTCTCATGCGGCATTGTGGCATTCTGACATCATGCGTGATGTTACAAAGCCACATTCTCTTATGTTGCATCGTGGCATTATGACACCATGTGTAACGGCTCAATGTTCTCGGACACATTCTCGTACTGACATGAATTCAGAAAGCCACAACGCCACATACTAGAATTTTACATTGACATTATGTTTGAGGTAATAAAGCTACATTTTCTAATTTTGCATTTTGGTATTATGACACCATGTGGCATGTCATAATGTTAACATTTGTTTAGAATTGTTTACATGTTTACATTTGAATCATAGTGACATGGTTCCTCTCCAAGAACAGCAACCCGGTAGCATTCTAGAATGTGGCATTATGACATCATGTGTAATGTCAGAATGCCACTTTCTAGGATGCCACATTATATCAGCCTAGAATCATAGTCACATGGTTCCCCTCTCATGTGGCATTGAGGCATTATGACATCATGTGTGATGTCAATTGTTAAGATTTTTTTTAGAATTGTTTACCTGTTTACATTTGAATCATAGTCACATGGTTCTTCTGCATGTAATGCAAACCAGTAGCATTATAGAATGTGGCATTCTGACATCATGTGTGGTGTTATAATGTTAACATTATTTTAGAAATATTTACATACTTACATTTGAATGATAGTCACCTGGTTCTTCTGCACAAACAGCAAACCAGTGGCTATCTAGAATATAGCATTATGACATCATGTGTGATGTCTTGATTTCACATTCCACAGGATGACGCCTGATGTCAGAATGCCACAATGCCACATTCTAGAATTTTGTATTGCAGCATTCAGACATCACACATGATATCATAAAGCCACATTCTCTATTGTGGCATTGTAGCATATTGACATCCTGTGTGATGCCAGAAGGCCACAATGCAACATTGTCGAATGTGGAATTGTGGCATTCTGACACCTTTGTGATGTCAATAAGCCATATTGTCTCCTGTGGCATTGTGGCATTATGACATCATGTTTAATGTCAGAATACCACAATGCCACATTCTCTCATGTGGCATTGTGGCATTATGACATCATGTGTGATGTCTAATTTTGCATTTTGGTATTATGACACCATGTGGCATGTCATAATGTTCACATTTGTTTAGATTGTTTACATGTTTACATTTGAATCATAGTGACATGGTTCCTCTGAAAGAACAGCAACCCGGTAGCATTCTAGAATGTGGCATTATGACATCATGTGTAATGTCTTAATTCCACATTGTAGGCTCTTTCCTTTTTGAGGGAGACGTCCAGCTCAAACTGCCCGAGGTTCCCCTGAACCCTGATGGTCCCATTCTTATAGATGTTGACTGAAGTCATGGGGGAGTCCGCGTGTTCTGCCTTTCTGACTTTCAGCTCCCATCCATTGCAGATGCCCTCCTTCACAGAGGGGTAGTGGGTCTTGATTGATGATCTCTCTCTCTCTCTCTCTCTCTCTCTCTCTCTCTCTGAGTGAGATGGCGTGTGAGTGCTGAGAGCTGAGAGCGAATCGAACTTCGATTCAACTTTTGTGAGTTTTTGAGAATTTTTTTCTCTTTTCTTTTGGTGTGAGTGTGTTTATGAGTTGTTTGTCTATTATTTAGTGTTAAGAGGGTTGTGGTTTGTTGAGTGTGTGAGTGTGTGAGTGCTTTGGTTTGGTGGGCGGCGTGCTAACAGCGCAATGCCGGTAGCAGAGGCTGCAGCCGCCGAGTTTGAAAAGCTGACTCACCGGCATGCGATAAAGCTTAATCCCGCGGTGCAGTGCTCGGTAGAGGAAGCCAGCCTGGCTGTAGGAGAGGTGGTCGGGTACGACTCAGTGAAGTCTGCCTCACGGATGAACGGGGCCATTGTGATTTTTTTAAACAGTACGGTGCTGGTTAACGAGGTGGTGGAGAAAGGAGTAGTAATTCACGACACCTTCACTCCGGTCTCCCCCCTCATTAGCCCGGCCACGAAAGTTACCATTTCTAATGCTCCCCCGTTTATTAAAAATGAAACTCTAGCGAAAGAACTGTCCAGGTACGGACAAGTGGTGTCACCGATTAAAATGGTCTCTCTGGGCTGTAAATCCCCCAAACTGAAGCACGTAGTGTGTCACAGGAGACAGGTATACATGATCCCGAAAGACAACAGTAATGATCTAAACCTGTCGTTTTCTTTTAAAATAGAAGGATTCGTATATATTGTGTTCGCTTCGTTCGCTGAGGCCGCTGGGGAAGAGTTGAGTGTTGCTGCTGTGACCGGGGTCACAGCAGTAGAATCGGTCAGTCCTGCTCAGGAGGGGCCCTCCACAGTCTCGGTGCCTCCGGTTGCAGAGGGCTGCTCGGAGCGAGAAGAGCTCATGCTCTCAGACTCGGCAGACGAGAGCACGAGCAAAGTGATTAGTGATGATTTCATGGAGGAAGGCATGTCTGATGACGAACTGCTTAAAGTGTCTCAAAAAAGGAAAAATATTGTGACTGTTAAAAAGAACAAAAAAAAGAGAAAACCGATTATGAGGAAGACCCCAGAGTCAGAGAGTGACTTCTCTTTTACCCAGGACTCTCAGTCGCCATACTCCCCGGCTCAGATAAAAACCTTCCTGGCACAGATTAAAGGCTCCAGGCTGCCCAATATAAGAGAATATTTCCCAGACCTACGCTCTTTTATGAGGTCAGCCATACCCCTCACCAGGAAGAGCCATGGGGAGGAGGTTTTAACAGAACAAGAGGTCTTCAGACTCAAAAAGGTTTTAGGGAGGGTAAAAGAGCAATTCATCAGTGATGAGGATGAGTTTTAGATGCTTTTACCCTTCACTGACTGTTCTCCTGAGTGTTTTTTATTTTTTATCCATGTGTGATTTTAATATCAGCACCTTAAACCTGAACGGGGCCAGGGCTGATTTTAAACGCGCCGCTCTTTTTAAATTAATGGAGACTAAAAAAATAGATATCATTTCTGTCCAAGAAACCCACAGCACCTTAGATAACGAGAGTGATTGGAAGAGGGCTTTTAACGGGGAGGTAGTTTTAAGCCACAAGTCCAGCCGAGCGGAGGGGTGGGGATTTTATTTGCACAGTTTTTTACCCTTTTCTTTTACCATCCATGAGATCATCCCAGGTGTTTTATTGAAGGTAAAAGCTGTCTTTGAGAATGTAAAATGTGTGTTTTTAAATGTCTACGCTCCTACCAATGCTGTGGAGCGAATAGCATTTTTAAACATTTTAAAGGACTGTGTTAGGGACTGTGAGAACGATGGTTTTATGTTTTTAGGGGGAGATTTTAACTGCACAGTTGATCCATCCCTGGACAGGAACCATCCTGAACCACACCCACCCTCATCACACACACTCCGGCGGCTGACAGAGAGTCAGGAGCTGAGTGATGTGTGGAGGGTTTTTAACAGTCAGCACAGACAGTTCACCTGGAGTCACAGTAGGGAGGGGGTTTTAACTCTAGCCAGACTGGACCGTTTTTACTGTTTTAAACACCATTTAAACATTTTTAAAAGGTGTTTTATGCTGCCAGTTGGTTTTACGGATCATTTTTTAGTCTCCTGTCGTGTTTTTATCAAAAACATTCGTTTAAAGAGCGCCTATTGGCATTTTAACACAGCCCTTTTATCTGACCAGGCTTTTAGAACTGCTTTTAGGGTTTTTTGGGAATCCCACAGAGAGAGCAGGCCTGCCTTCACTAACATACAACAGTGGTGGGATTTTGGGAAAGCCCAGATAAAACAGCTCAGCCAGCAGTTCACTCGCGGTGTCACTACAGACTTAGCTTGGTCCATGAAAGACCTGGAGTCGCAGGTGGTAGAGCTGCAGACTACTGCAGACTCTACAGGAAATCGAGGGCTTTTAGACTCCCTCAAGTCCAAAAAGTCGGCATTAGCCAACCTGTTAGGCGTCTCAGCACAGGGGGCTCTGGTCAGGTCTCGTTTCATGAACATCACACAGATGGACGCCCCATCTCGCTTCTTCTTTGGGTTGGAGCGGAAAAATGGACAAAGGAAGACCATTCACTGTTTACGGACGGGTAGCAGCTCCGAAGTCTCAGACTCGTCTGAGATCAGGAAGTTTGCTGCCAACTACTACAGAAACCTCTTTAAGAGTGAGTGGTCGCATAATCCAGAAGTGCACAGCAACTTCCTGGCGGGTCTCCCTCAGGTCAGCGAGGCTGACAACAGCAGACTGGCAGCAGAGGTGACGCTGCAGGAGCTCCACGCAGCCACCATGAGCCTGCAGAGCGGCAGAGCTCCAGGCATAGACGGCCTTCCTGCTGACTTTTACAAGTCTTTGTGGTCCATCATAGGACCAGACCTGCTAGAGGTCATGACAGAAAGTCTGAGGACCGGCAGGCTACCTCTGAGCTGCAGGAGGACCGTCATCACCCTGCTGCCCAAGAAGGGAGACCTGCAGGAGCTGAAAAACTGGAGACCAGTCTCCCTGCTGTGCACGGATTATAAAATCCTGTCCAAGGCTTTGACCCTCAGACTGAGGGAGGTGATGGCGTCCATCATCCACCCTGACCAGACCCACTGTGTGCCTGGCAGGCTCATCAGTGACAACGTCACTTTAATTCGAGACATTTTGGAGCTCTCCAGGTCATTGGGTATAGAGACTGGTCTTATTTCCATAGATCAGGAAAAGGCTTTTGACCGGGTTGAACATCAGTACCTGTGGCAGACTCTGGCTGCCTTTGGGTTCAACCCTGGGTTCATAGCCATGGTCTGGGTTCTCTACAGTGACATTGCGAGTGTTCTGAAAATTAACGGCGGGCTGAGTGCACCATTCGAGATCCAGAGAGGGGTGAGGCAGGGCTGCTCTCTCTCTGGGATGTTATATTCAGTTGCCATCGAGCCTCTGCTTCACAATCTGAGAGAGAAACTAAGTGGTGTGAGTTTCCCCCGGTGCCCTGTGTCTTTTAAATTGTCCGTATATGCTGACGATCTTATTGTTTTAGTAAAAACACAAAGAGACATTGACATTTTAACTGACACTGTCCATGACTTTGGTTTTATCTCCTCAGCTAAGGTGAACTGGGGAAAAAGCGAGGCTCTGATGGCTGGAGGGGAGCTGGGGGGCCGGCTCAGGCTGCCCGGGGGCCTACAGTGGAAAAAAGGAGGACTCCGGTACCTTGGGGTCTTCCTAGGAGATGAGACCTACATACAGAAAAACTGGGACAATGTCCTAGAGCAGGTTAAAGGTCGGCTGGAGAAGTGGAAGTGGCTACTCCCAAAAATGTCGTACAGAGGCCGAACCTTAATCGCAAATAATCTGGTCTCATCTTCCCTGTGGCACCGGCTGGCTTGTGTCGATCCTCCAGCTTCTCTCCTTCCCAAGATTCAGTCGTTTTTAGTTGATTTTATTTGGGACAGACTCCACTGGGTCCCACAGAGTGTCCTGTTTTTACCAAAAGAGGAAGGGGGCCAGGGCCTGGTCCACCTGGCCAGCAGGGGCGCAGCCTTCAGGCTCCAATTCATTCAAAGGCTGCTGATGGGGCCGAAGGACACTCTGTGGAGGCCCCTGTCCCGCTGCATTCTGCAGGGTTTTAACAGCCTGGGTCAGGATTTTAATTTGTTTTTAATGAACACACAGAACATGAGCACATCTTCTCTGCCTGCTTTTTATCAAAGTGTTTTTAAGGTCTGGGGACTGCTGAGGAAGGAGAGGAGGGGCCAGGTGGACTTGATATACTGGCTCCTGCAGGAACCGGTCCTGTGGGGGACCCGTCTGGACCTTCCCAGCTGGGCAGGACGGAGTCTACAGGAAAAACTGCAGACAGCGGGGATCGTCACTCTGGGGCAGGTGGTGGATCTGACGGGACCCCGAATGGACGACCCCGCTGGACTCGCTGCCCGGCTGGGACTTTTATCGATGAGGGTCACCCAAAAACTCATAGAGCACTGGAGACAGAGACTCACAGGACACGACCGCCTGCTTTTAAACTCCCCTTTTACCCAGACTGTGAACAAAGAAAACCCCTTTCCTGCCATCTTCCTGGCACCGGATTTTAAAGACTGTTCTGGCCCGCTGTTGGATTTTAACCACCCCGCCCCTTTGGAGGGCACAACTGGGAAAACCTTTTATAACATCTTGGTGAAAACAATAAACAGGAAAAAACTGAACCAAAGACCTGACACCCCATGGAGGACCTATCTGAGCCTGGCTCCTGAGGCCAGGCCTGAGTGGAGGGCCTTCTATAAACCTCCACTCTCGAAGAAACATGCGGATGTACACTGGAGAGTCCTCCATGGGGTCATAGCAGTGTACTCTTTTATATCGCACATTAACCTGCCCACAGAGAGAGTCTTTTACCCTTGTTTCTGTTTTTACAAACTGTTTTTACCAAGTGTGGAGAGGTTTTTAACAAGCGGGTTTTTATTCTGGGTTTTAAATACACACGCCAACACAAGAACAAGTGCCAGCTTTTAAACTTTGTTTTAGGGCAGGCCAAGATGGCTGTGTATTTTAGCCGCAGAAGGAAGGTGGAGGATGGTTTTATTGTTGATCCAGTCACTGTCTGTAAGAACATGATCAAGTCCAGACTCCTCATCGATTTTAATTTCCACAAGGCAGGAGGAGATCTGGACTCATTCCAGCAGGTTTGGGGTTTTAACCAGGTGTTGTGTTCAATAGCAGGAAATATTTTACAGTTTGAAGATGTGCTCATGTAATTTTTATTTATTTATTTATCTATTTTTTGACTCTGTGTGACTGATTGTATGAATCGACCTCTTTTTTGAAAAAAGAGCGAGAAATAAAGTAGATTCAAAAATCAAAAAAATCTCTCTCTCACTCTCTCTCGCTATCTCTCTCTCTCCCTCTCTCCCTTTGAGTGTTGTTTGCTGTAATTAGAGAGCCTCATTCATCTGAGTGTGGTGTGGAAATCTTCTCAAGGAGCCGTCAGCTGAAGCATCTGTTTGGAGAAAGTGTTGAACCTGCAGGGAGCAGCTAATCTGCAGCCCTCCATTACAACAAGTGAATGTAATAATGATCATGAAGTTACAATGATGGTCAGCTGAGCGGCTGACAGACTTACTGAGCCTGAAGTCGAGGAGGAGAAACTCAGCAAAGCTCATTCATGTTCCAAAGAGTTTTCCTACAGTTGTTTTTAAAGTTAGAGTGGATTTCTGAGCTGAAATGGACAGACAAATGTTAGTTTAGTTGACTTTCTCTCCAGACTACAAACATTTAGCTGTATGTAATAGTTACATTACAGTTTGGTTTTTCACTTACAGGATGACAAAGAGACGCCTTGTTATTATGTCTTCACTGACAGTTAACTTCATTCATCCAGGTCATGACTTTAGTTCGACTTAACATGCTTCCTCAAACCACTTGAAGCCACATCCAGCTGCCTTTTGTGTTTCCTGTGAACCATCAGCTGATCACAGGAAGAGGGCAACTCCGTTCACATCAATCCGGAAGTTTCATTCCAGCACAGCTGTCCTTTAACCTTTAGGTGATGATACAGCTGCAGGCATATAAACCTGTGAATCATTAACATTGCGCCTGAAGCGAACAGCATGACATCTATAATGTTTTTTAAAGCAGCTTTTCAAGATGCAGCAGGTTTAAAGTCTTGAAGGATTAAAAAAAAAAACAGTACACAGATGCAGCTGAGGAGGATAGAAAACAAATCTGTGGATATGATGTGTTATATGTGACAGATTGGTGAAAACGAGGGAGCCCAACTTTCCACAGTCTCTAATTTAGAGAGGGTGCAGTAATAAGTGCAGAGTCAAAGCCAAAATCAGCATGGGAGTTTCACTGCTGTGTTTGGAGCAGGAGCCAGCAGTTGTTTGGACATTATCCTGAAGCTGAAGTCTCCTCTTGATCAATGTCTGAATGTTTTCCAGAGTGTTTGTAATAAAGGTCACAGAGTCTCTGATCATGTGTGCAGCCTTTCAGCTGGAAAAAGAGATCCAAAGAGATTAAACAGACGGATAAACCTGCTCTGGCAGATCTGGTCTCATCCATCAGCATGCTTCTTTCTGTTCTGACTTTATTTGGCCGTTTCCTCCTGTAATGGCGTGTTTGTGTGTCTGTTGACAGCGAGGACACAGTATTTGGCGGTGCAGACTCGGACTGTAAAAGCTAATTGTCTGTGGCACCAGGGGGCCGTCCCCTAATGAACCATGTGCTGAGGTTGATTTAATCTGGACTGAGCCTTCTCTAGTCAGAGTGCTGTTCTGGGTAAAAATAAGAGCTGCTGGAAAACGGGGCTAAGATACCTGAGAGCGGATTTATGGACTCATGAAGGATGTATGAATGTTTGAATTATGAATGACACTGAAGGGTTATAAACACTTTGTAACAATGAACCAGCAGTAAAGAGTGTTTGGCTCTGAATGCTCACAAGAAGCCTCTCTAGAGATTTCAGACTGTTTAAGACGAAGTTTCTTTAACAGGACAAATAAAATTACAAAGCTTGAAGTAAAGATCGGATTTTAGGATGGGACAGTAAAGATGTTTTAGAGGTCTAAACTACAGGGCAGTAATTGTTTATAATTTCAACCAATTTCATGCTGACTGTGGCCCTGCTTTCAAACATGGTGGGTTACCAGACTCATTATGTAGCTGTGATTCTTCCTAACAAAGACTTCAGTTTGTGATTTATTTTCATGGCCTAATAAAGAACAGAGAGACCAAGCAGGGATGTGACAATCCATTAGATCAAACAGATCAAAGTGGAAAAGCAGATTATGGAGGGTTTTATGTAATAGCAGCGATATAGCAGCGATGGGTCACCCCCATATTGAAGCAAATTGGTTTCCAAATTAAAGATCTGTTTTCATCCACAGACAGTTATAGCAGAATTGGATTGATGAGTCCAAGTTCAAATCTGATGTGGTGGTGGATGATACTGCATGTTCGATCAATGAAATCTGTTAGTCTCTTTGTTGTCGTGTCTAAAATTTCCTATTAGAAAAATGGAAGCCTTGTCACAGGGTCTTTGCTGCTGCTCCCCCTACCTTGGCTTTATATGTCTGCACATGAAGTGAAGGTGTGTGTGTGTCTGTGTCTCTTTCATACCGTCTTTATTTTCTCTGTGAATCTAAACATTGTGCTCCAACTACATGAGGAGGATTTTATTTATTTATTTATTTATTTATTTATTATTTCGGTCACTTATTTCAAAATATGAATACGAACAAAAACACTAAATGAAACCAGACCGAAAAGGTATAGGCTAAAGCATAGCTTATTACGCCTACCCTTTTCGACTTGCTACAGTCAGCTCCTTACTGAGTGCCAAAAATTTGGACAAATGAGAAGAAAAAGAAAAACACACACAAAAAAACCGACAAGCCAAACCAAACAAAAAATTAACAGATAAGCTGAAAAAGAAAAAGAAAAACATGAATATACCTTTACATGGACCTATGATGACTATTATATTTCCAAAAGACAATTTACACAAACACAGATACTGAACCATTGCAGTTCTACTTAATGAGCAACCAATCTTCAATATTTTCCTAAATAATTTATATGTACTGCACTCCTTAATTTCCGTTTCCAAAGCATTCCACAGATTGGTCCCATAGACTGAAACACATCTTTTAACTAGAAAAGCACTCGGAGAGTGCAGACCTCCGCCAAGCAGCTCATGTCCCCCCTTATATTGTGATTCACACCAAAACTTTTACTGTTACGTGTCTTTTATTAACTTTTATTTGTGTTTAAACTGGTATGTTCACTGTTCATAATGTTCCTAAAACAAGAAATGCCCTGACCCGGATTCAAACCCAGGACCCTCTTGCTGTGAGGCGACAGTGCTAACCACTACACCACTGTGCCGCCCATCTACACCACTGTGCCGCCCATTGCTTATCTTTCAGCATTGAAAATTCCAACGATACCCTTATTTTTGTGAGTTCTGGATCACAGTATCCGGAATTTTGTCTGGATCATGATCAACCTTTGACACCTCATGAAACTCATTGAGATCCTTTTGTGTAATTTTTTACTAAAGACTCTGGCCATTTTTATAAAGTTAAATGCAAAAAATTCCTGGATCCAGAAGGCGATCCGGATCACCACCAAAATGTAATGGGATCCTCCTGGGGCTGAGACGCACCTCTGGTGAACATTTCAGGTCAATCCTTCTGTTACTTTCTCCGTAAAGTTGGTAACAGACAAACAAACAAACAAACAAAACAACGCTACCGAAAACATAACCCTCTTGGCGGAGGTAACAAAAAGATAAACTTAGAGGCTGAAGTAGTGGTGTAGTGGTCCCTGGAGAAGTGGATATACTCTCAATTTTCACCTTTTTTGTTTTTTTTCAAAGTAGTCCAGAAAAACGCCCTGTTTTAGAAACGTGTCATCTTCAGTTATGAAAGGCTAAACAGTGACATGTAAGACTACCTGGTTAAACCTTAATATTGTTTTAGGCCGAATCTTAAACTATCTGTCCCCACTCTTGAGTTTTAACTTACTTTAAAATCAACTACCAGCCTGGCTACTATGAAATTAAACTAGATCATGTAGGTTGGTTAGGGCTATTTAACTCGGCTAACGTTATAATTTACACCAGGTGTTCTCAACCTTTTGCAAGCTCTGCCCCCCCCCAAAGTTGGTTCATTGTAGTTGCCCCCCTCCCCGGACTCCGGGAACCAAGTCAAGAGATGCTCCTCCTGTTTGCTGCAGGTTGGCAGGATGCAAATGGATGAAACGCGCTGACCACAAGGAATGGGATTTAAACAAGAATAATACCAATGGATTATTAAACTGCTGGAGCTGGATGACTGATAATGCTGACTGTTTGAGACACCTGAGAAAAGCTAAGATTTTTTTTATCTTGGTTATTTTATGTTAGATCTCCGTTAAACAGTAGTATGGTGTAATGAGCTGCTGTGAAACTTGTAGCTTGGTGAACACAGGTGTGTCTGTGTGGATGAGAGGACAGGTGTATTAATGAGGGAGACTCTGGTAATGAAGTTTATACAGTTAATACTGATGTTTACTTCAAATTGCTGCTCTGTGTGCGCATGCCGACGTGTGTGTAATGTTGTGAAGGATCCTCAGTGTGTGAGCTTCTCTCCCTGTAGTGACTGATCGTCATCAGTTGGTCAAAGCGGGATGCTTATCAGTGAAGGCAACGAGTACCAGCCAATTAGAGGCAAACGAGGATGGGTCATGGCTTCACCACCCTTGAGGAAAAAAATGGGCAATCTGGCACATACACAGATATTACTGAATGGGTGCGCATCAGGGGGGATTTAGAAGT